TTATTATTATTATTATTATTATTATTATTATTATTATTATTATTATTATTATTATTATTATTATTATTATTATTTATTGCTATAGTGTAGTCTTGTTTATAGAGTTATCTAATCTAGTATATAAATACAAAGGACAAGAAATTAAACTGAAAATCATCAATAAACTATATTAAAAGTTATCGACACAACTAGTCACCAGTGACCTATTAGATAACTACACATAATCAAGATTGTTCATCAAATTGTCACTTAAGGTTCTCAATTTGATGATGTTAATGATATTAATATTACTATATAAAATGGAAGTGAATGAAGAAGGACAATTGTCATTAATATATTTTTTGAGAAGAAATTCATAATCGCATAGGAATGAATTGGAAAATTTTTTGTAAAGTGAGATATAATGTAAGTTGCTGTTAATAGGATGACCAGATCTATTAGTGATTCTGATCTTGTGTTTCTTTTGTATATTATTTTATTTTTTAGCATTGATTTGTATTGTATATTTGGAATTTCAAATTTTGAGTTTGACTTGTAAGACGAATCAGTATATCTAAGGTTGCTTGCCGAAATTCCTTAGTGACTGTCTAAATTTTGTCGAAATTATAATAAACTATTAGTAAATAACCCGTCGAAATTCTGACGAATTTTGAAACCCGTCGTAACCGAAATTATGTCGAAATTCTAATTAACAATTAGTGTGTAACCCGTCGAAATTATGACAATATTTTTCTGAAAGGATTTAGGCAAGCATCCTTAAGTATATCATTTTGTGAGTGATAGATATGGCTGATTTTTGATTAAATTGAAATTTTTTAATGAATGTAACAAGATTGTTAAGAACGAATCTGTAAATTAGGTGAGTGATATTAAGTTGTGAATTAACTGAGTTATTGAAGTCAATAGAAAAATATTGTATTAACTTGCAGAAAGATTTGACTTGTATTGTGTGTTATCGATATTGTTATTGATTTTTTTTTGTTTGTTTGATTAGTTTAGTAGTGAGTTTGTTAACAAATTCAGTGATGATATCTTGAAGAAAAGATTGAGAGACAGAGCATGATCAGATATGTTGTTGTATTTCTTGTTCTTTGCTACATCTGGAACAAGTGTCAGAAGGATAGAGATCAGATTTGTATTTTCTGAGCAAGCTGAATACTAGAAGGGAGGTAATGATATATTTAATAAGGTATGTTCTGATAGATGAGTGTAAGGATGAGGTAAAGTTGCTATTTGCATCTTGATCAGGATTCCAGACTAAATATATAACTTTACCAGTTAACGAGAAGAATTTGTTGATTGTTGATTATTTTGTTGAAGTCATTTGATAATTATCATGTATATTATATTCTTTTTGTGCATAATTAACTTGATAAATTGTCTTAAATTAGAATCTATTGGAATGAACTAGAGGAAAATAGGGATGAATGGAATATTTGGAATATTATGAGTGTTATATGAAGAGGATTTTGTCTTCTGTCTAGGTTTGCAAGTTTATCTGCTTGTTCGTTACCATGTATGCCAGAATAACTTTTGATTTTGATAAATTTAATTTGTAATCTTTTTGCATTAATATTATATTGCATGATACTCCATAAGAATCAGAATGGTTGTTGGAGAAGATGACATGTAAAATAATTATTTTGATTAATGATATTGTTGTTGAATTCTTTGATAGCACTGGCACTATCACAGTGTATTGTGACATCAGAGAGAGTTGGAAGAATTTCAGTGATAGAGATAATAGTGAAAACTTCTGTTTTTGTGATGGATACTGAGTCAGGAATTGATTCTGCGAGACTTGGTTTTAATTCGTAGAGACCTGGTTTGCGAGTTAATTTTTCCTCGGTTAATCGAAGAAACGCCCTACCAGTAAGGTCTTGATTGCGAATTTTCTCGATATCAGCTTCATTGAAATCTAAATTCTTCATTCTAGACTCAAGAAACTTCTTAACGTGATTCGGAGACCACTTTTTGACATCGTCTGGGAGTTCATCATCCATTGTACTCTTTTTCTTTTTGTTTTGTTTAGGTTCATAAGACTCTTCAAGCTCGTCAGAGTTTTCAAGCTTGTTGGCCTCTTCAGGTTCGTCAGATTCCTCAGGCTCATACGCCTTCCGCTTCAAAGCTATTAACATTTATAAATGTAGATTAATGATGTTTGATGCTTGAAACCTTATTAAAATAATTTTGAAATTTAACATACATGTTTCCTTTGGAAATTCAGTTACCACCGCTCCGGTTACTGCGCGTATTCCAGTAGTCAAGATTTCACACTAATTACGTTCAGTTAAAAAAGGGTTACATAGGGAGTTTAGCATAGAATAAAATTAAAGGCATCCCGTACCTTATTGATTCGATTTTCAACAGCTAACTTTCCGAGTCTTAAATAATGTTCTTGCCATAACTCGATGTTCACATTGTCTTTTTTACTATTCTTTAAAAGAAAAAAAATACGACAAATATTAGAAATCATATTCATAATATGTGGGTAGTTGGTCGACAGCAAAAGACGCATTTTTGCCGTCAGTCCACTTCAAGCAAAAAAAATTTTGCCTTGCGCGACAGGATCGCTCAATCGGAATTGCAGGACTCGGTTATATATAATAGTTGATGAATAGTCGGTCGACGGCAAAAGACGCATTTTTGCCGTCAGTCCACTTCAAGCAAAAAAAAATTTTGCCTTGCGCGACAGGATCGCTCAATCGGAATTGCAGGACTCGGTTAAAATAGTGTCAATAGAACTATCAACGAATTGTATGCCACAGTTGGACCGAAGTTTCCAGGTGTAACACACTTCCCACTTCAGGCAAAAGCGTATTTTACTTTCTGCGATAAGATCGCTCGATGAATTGCAGGGAGCAGGTATCATTTTGTTCCTGGCACAAATGAGATCTTTTCAAATCATCCGCTCTGTAATATTCCCGGCTTTTTGGTGGAAGTGCCTTGAGAATAATGTTCAATTCAATTCCAAGCGTTTGGTGAGCTTGCGCCTTGGTAGCTCCAGGTAACCTGTTAATATAATAGATGTCCCCCACAGGCGCGTTCCCAATAATCTATAAATCAAAAGTAAAGGGACACGGTCCCAGTAATAATAAAAAAAATAAAGTGAAATTAAGTTCCTCCTACTTTGCGATTATTTTAAAAGTCAGAAGTTTAAAGGTTTACCTGCGTGATGGAGATTTTCTAAAGTTTTCGAGTCGAGAATTGAAGACATTATCGACATATAGAACGTGAAACCATTTTTCACGGATATTTATTCTACCGCACGTTTCTCGTGACAGGAATCACGTAACGATCTGCATAACGATCTGCGTCTCTAATATACGCGCGTATATTAAATTATATATTATAAATCATTTGATTATAGATCGAAAATTTTGGAAGCTTGATTAACGAAATTCTTAATTTTTTGAATCCTTTCAGGAATAACTATTTCTGGGTTTTCATCATACCATACCTCAAGTAGGAAAATTCCGTTATCTTGACATATACATCTTTTTTTCCGATCACGATTTACAACATCCTCAAGTTTTTTGACATCTTTATACCAGCTAGTGCTATGGAGCCGATGCTGAGCCCCCTGTACCTCTAATGCAATTGGATATTTCTGAAAGAAGGCATCAAGTTCTAATCCATTCAAGAAGGGAGGACGATACTCAATTATCGGCTTTTCTCCAAGTAATACTTGAGCTATTAGAATACATTTTTCCTGAAATTTACGATTTTTCTTAGACTCTAGTTCTTTTTTAAATTCATCTAAATCCTGTTTTAACTTTATATTCTCAGTTTCAACTTCTTCTTTGTCATGCTTTAACTTCGTATTCTCAGTTTTGATTTTGATATTCTCATTTTTTAATTCATCTATTTCCTTTTCTAATTTTATATATTCAGAGTAGAAATTATCGTGAATTCTTGCCCTATCAATAATAAGAATTGCAATTTCTTTACCAATTCATTGATCTCTTTATCTTCGAATGATCTGGATTCAAGAACTCGTTCAAAAATCATTTCTTCTTCAGGGAATATTTTTACCTCATTCCAAAGATCTGTGAATGCTCAAACTGTTACTTCACAAGTTCTTCCTGGATTCGTAATGAATATGCAAGATATCCTTTAATGGAAAATAGAATTTTGGTAATTATTAGAATTTAATGGCTGATTTTCGTTCTTTAGGCTTTTCAATGTGCACAATAAAATGATTAAATCCATTAATAAAACAGACCCTTGGGTCAAGCTTTATTTTGCGTTAATCGTGTGAATCTGTTAATAATTTCATGTGTTCGGGTTTAGAATGGGTAAGATGTTTAAGAACTAGTATAAAACCGAAAAGCATTTTCATTTCAAAGTTGTTGATCTAACCACGAGTATTCTCAACAGCTGCTCTTATAAAAATTGGTACAATAAAAAAAAACAAAAATAAATAAAGAAATTAGATATTTTCACGATATCATCTCTTAATTTCAAAAAACGAATATATCCTATAAAGACTTTCCTTTCTTGGACTATCTGCTGGTATGAAAAGAAATCTTCCAAGAAAAACATTTCTTACCAAAGCCAAAAATAGTGATTTTTTGTGTCATTTCTCAGTAAGAAAAAAAGTCCAAAAGAAAGTGGCAACTCGCTTACAAGTAACGCCGATAACTAATAAAAATCGGTCACTGTGCGACTGATTAGTGTATTTGGATGCAACTACGTATAAACAGATTACATGTACTGTAAAAATTCCATATATGGGGGGGGGGGGTGTGTTTAAGTGGAAATGACACAAATCCCATTGTTTAAAAATGGATTTTTTTTTACTTAAACAGCCCCATACGTATACATAAATTTAACTTTGTGAGTCTATTCAAAAATACCATTTTCAATCAATCTGTGTTAGTGTACAGAAAGTCATGGATGGAAGTAAAACACCGCCAAAAATCAACTGATGCACAATTTCGTTATACTGCCTTTATCGCATCTTGTTGAAGTCAAGGAACGATAACGCAAGATGACGAAACCAAAACTTTATACCATTGTATCATATGTTAATTACTATTTTAAGGTCAAGATTTTTTTGAATATTCCGTTACTCGATCTTGGAATATTAAGAAAGTTCATTGATGATAATGATTAGTTCCAATTTAAGAAGGTTCATTGATGATAAGGATTGGACCTAACGGAGGTCCATTGTCGAATTCCAATTGCGCAAATTGACTAATATTTATAGTCTACAAAATCTTGGGTCGAACAAAAAAAAATTATATCTTATCAAGAGATTATTAATTGACTTTCTTATACCAAGAGATTGTTGATTGACTTTTATTAAGAGATTGACTTACATCAAGAGACTATCTCATATCAAGAGACTATTAATTGATTTACATCAAGAGACTTTCTTATATCAAGAGATTATTAATTGACTTTTTTATAACAAGAAAATTGATTTTGAAATATCTTTCTTATATCGAGTGTTTATAGTGAGTTGTATTTAAACCCCCCCCAACTAAAACTGATTTATCATGATAATATCAATACCCTATCAAGTTATTCCAACGTTACCCGATTCACATGAATCAAAAGTAGAACTAGAAGGTGGTGGGCATCTGACTAATCGGATTGAGCTTATTGGGAGCGATGTAGAAATTGAAACAAAATTCCAAGCAGGTTCTAATCTCGAGGCTTCAGCTGGAGCAAGATTCGGAACAGGCGGTATTAGGGCAAATGCGAAGGCTGGTGCTTCGTTGCTTCGGCATAATAACGGCAATGGAGATATAAAATTTCTTAACGCGGAAGCAAGAGCAGAAGTAGTGATGGGCGCTAGTTTCACAGCTACAGCTAAAGCAGGTATAAATCTTATAAACGCAGAAACTAAAGCTGTTAAAGGAAATATCGGGGTCAATGTCGACACAGGTGCATCAATCGGTCCTGATGGTATGGGTGCCAAGGTTGCAGGTTTTGGTATAACAATAGGAAAAGAAATGGGTGTAAGTACACCCTTCGGAGGAATTTCAATTAATCTGGGAGGAGTTTTAGAAGAATTTTCGGGTTATGAAAAACATTTGAACAATGTAAACTTTCTTAATAACTGCATTATTAAGTTTTAAACATGTATAATCTTTAAACTTGTATAATACTTGTGTAATAAAAACACTTAATAAAATAGTCATCCTTAACCTATACGTATACACCCATCTCGCATAATCGAATTTACTCGTATTGACCACTAAAGTACAAAAAATTCCCAGACGTTTTCCAATTCGCCCGAACTATTTTTTTCGCACTCGCGTATTTTTATAATAGGCTTCGACTATCCAATTTTATCCATTAGAGCCACGTTTATTATGGGTTATGAGTTTCAAAGATGCTGATAAATTCGTCAAGGCTCGAAAAGAAATAAATGCTCAATATTTTTTAGTTGCTTCGCTAATGTTTTTTATGATTCTAATTTAGATAAAATATGTAGGCAATCAACAGAACTCGATATAACGATTTTTATAATAAATTCTCGATATAATGATATTTACAGAATTTTTTACTAATTATTCCCGACCTATCGTTATGTCGAGTTTTGACTGTATGCAATTTAGCGATGATATGTAGCATTATTGAAAGTTAGCTTAATTAACAAATATCTTGATTTAACGAAATTATTCTTATTATAGAATATTTCTTTTTACGTATTATCGTTATACCAATTTTTATAAATCCAGCTGTTGAGAATATCCATGGTTTAGATCGACAACTTTGAAGTGAAAATGTTTTTCGGGCGTTCTTCACAAAAGAAAGCAAGTTTCAATATCAGTGTTTCGCAAAAAAACCACGTTTGGTATAAAAGTTTAGTCGCTACAATTCATCATATTTTGTGTTTTCGTCTCTCTCTCTCTCTCTCTTAGTTTATATAAGAACGAAAGAATTTTTTGTTACTTTCTTTTACTTCGATATTTCGGTCTAACGAAGTAGTAAGAAATTAGATATTCTCTCTTAATTTCAAAAAATAAATATAGCCTATAAAAACTATGAAAAAAACTCTTCCAAGAAAAGCATTTGCTTACCAAAGCCAAACTAGTGATCTTTTGATGCGCCATTTCTCAGCAGGGAAAAAGCTGGTAAAGAAAAACTAAAAGAAGTGATAATCAATCACTGAAACATCGTAGTGTAACTATAAACAAAATAAAAATTTCATAGCACTAAAATATGGAATTGTGTCATTTCCCATAAATGTAAGAAAAACGCCGAATTTCGGTATACATGTACTACCCTTGAAATCAAGGTTTTTAAAGTTATTAATAAATACCATTTTCGATCAATCTGTGTAAGTGTACATTTTAAGTAAGGAAGTCATAAATGGAAAACGCCAAAAATCAACTGATGCACAATTTCGTTATACTACTTTCATCGAAGTCAAGGAACGATAACGCAAGGTGACGAAGCCAAAACTTTATTCAATTGTATCATATGTTAATTACTATTTTAAGGTTAATATTTTTTGAATATTCGGTTTTGGAATATTAAGAAAGTTCATTGACGATAATGATTAGTCCCAGTTTAAGAATGTTCATGATTGGACCTAATGGAGATCCATTGTCGAATTCCAATACTGATTCCATTGCTCAAATTGACTAGTTTTGATGACAACTAAACTAATATTTATAGCTTTACAAAACTTTGGGTTGAACAAAAAAAACTTTCTTATCTTATATCAAGAGATTATTAATTGGCTTTCTTATATCAAGAAATTGTTAATTGACTTTTATCAAGAGATTATTAATTCACTTTCTTATATCAAGAGATTGTTAATTGACTTTTATCAAGAGATTATTAATTCTTTTTTTACAACAAGAAACTTGATTTTGAAATATCTTTCTTATATCGAGTGTTTCTATTTAACCCTCACCCACTAAAACTGATTTATCATGATAATATCAATACCTTATCAATTTATTCCAACGTTACCCGATTCACATGAATCAAAAGTAGAACTAGAAAGTGGCGGGCATCTGACTAATCGGATTGAGCTTATTGGGAGCGATGTAGAAATTGAAACAAAATTCCAAGCAGGTTCTAATCTCGAGGCTTCAGCTGGAGCAAGATTCGGAACAGGCGGTATTAGGGCAAATGCGAAGGCTGGTGCTTCGTTGCTTCGGCATAATAACGGCAATGGAGATATAAAATTTCTTAACGCGGAAGCAAGAGCAGAAGTAGTGATGGGCGCTAGTTTCACAGCTACAGCTAAAGCAGGTATAAATCTTATAAACGCAGAAACTAAAGCTGTTAAAGGAAATATCGGGGTCAATGTCGACACAGGTGCATCAATCGGTCCTGATGGTATGGGTGCCAAGGTTGCAGGTTTTGGTATAACAATAGGAAAAGAAATGGGTGTAAGTACACCCTTCGGAGGAATTTCAATTAATCTGGGAGGAGTTTTGGAAGAATTTTCGGGTTATGAAAAACATTTGAATAATGTGAACTTTCTTAATAACTGCATTAGTAAGCTTTAAACCTGTATAATCTTTAAACTTGTATAATACTTGTATAATAAAAGTACTTAATAGTAATCCCTAACCTATACGTATATACCCATCTCGCATAATTGAATTTACTCGTATTGACCACTAAAGTACAAAAAATTCCCAGACATTTTCCAATTCGCCCGAACTATTTTTTTCGCACTCGCATAGTTTCAAAGATGCTGATAAATTCGTCAAGAAATAAATGCTCAATATCTTTAACTGCTTCGCTAATGCTTTTTATGTTTTCTAATTCAGGTAAGATATGCAGTCAGAACATCAGAAATCTTGTGCCAGGTTTTGTTGATCTCGGAAAATTCTACTGTAATGTTAATTAACATTAAAGGTTGGTTTTAAGGGTTAGGGCTGAGATATAGTTTGTAAATAAAATTGCCTCCCCGACGTTTTTAATTAGTACTCCAAGCTAGATTTAGGCACCTGTTTCTCGTACGTTTCGCATTTCTTGCATTTTTTCTTTCTTGTGTCGGATTTGTTTTTCCGGTCTGATCAAAAAATTGCGAATTCTTATTGGCTACTGGTCTATGATCGACAAAACCTGGCACAGATTTCTGATGTGCATCTCGCTATAAATATTTGATAAAATTTCCTCGATATAATAAATTCTCGATATAACGATATTTACAGAATTTTTTACTAATTATCCCCGACCTATCGTTATATCGAGTTTTGAACTGTATGCAATTTAGTGATGATATGTAGAATTATTGAGAGTTAGCTTAATTTAACAAATACCTTGATTTAACGAAATTTTTCTTATTATAGAATATTTCTTTTTATTTCTTTTTACGTATTATCGTTATACCAATTTTTATAAATCCAGCTGTTGAGAATATTCATGGTTTAGATCGATAACTTTGAAGTGAAAATGCTTTTCGGGAGTTCTTCACAAAAGAGAGCAAGTTTCAATATCAGTGTTTCGCAAAAAAATCACGTTTATTGTAAAATTCGGGTCGTTACAATTCACCATATTTTTTGTGTTTTCGTCTCTCCCTCCCTCTCTCTCAGTTTATAAAAGAGCGAAAGAATTTCTTTACTTTGATATTTCGGTCTAACGAATATAGCCTATAAAACTTATGAAAAGAACTCTTTCAAGAAAAGCATTTGCTTACCAAAGCCAAAATAGGGAAATTTTTGATGCGCCATTTCTCAGCAGAGAAAAAGCTGGTAAAAAAAAACTAATCGAGTTTTATAGAAGCACAGCAAGTTTGTTTAATACCCGAAAGAAGTGGCAACTCGCTTACAAGTAACGCCGATAACTTGATCGTTATAATAAAAATCAGTTATTGTTCTAATATCTCGATTCGTCTATTTAATACTAGGAGTTTCCAAATATCGTGCGTTCTCAAATAGAAAAGGCGAATATTTTATATTCTTGTGCCCCACGGAATGCTCGTAAGATTAAGAGTATTATTTAGAATTTGATAATATAATTGTTTCTAATAAGGTTTTTGGTATTGTTTTGGGAGTGAAGAACGCTCATTTAAATTACATTATTTCTCTAAAAAGTTTTTTTGCTAGCACTAACATAGTTACAGGGTAAATCCAAAGAAAAAGAGCTATAATCTTTAATTCAATGCATTCATTATATTGCAATAAAGTCCAATATAATTCGATGGTGATGCTTTCGTTTTTTAAATAAATCCAAGAGAATATATCCTAATCTAATTCAAAAATGTTTAAAGAACCATGCACCAAAAATATTTTATTGTTCTCGGTTTACGAGAAAGGTGATTTACTTCAATATTCATATTTGACAAGTATCCAAGTTAATTAGAAAAAAATATACATACTCAACCTCAACCTCTATCTATTGTTTGCTTCGACAATGTTGAAAATTCAACAGAAATGTAAATATAAAAAAAATGTAAAACGTATACAGTCTAACGATATATTCGAGACAATTAGTAAAAAACATTGTTCGAGAATTTATTACACCCTCGGACCAAAAATTGTGACTTTAAAGAGGTTGTGACTGTATGGAGGTATGCTTCATTATAGAAAGGGTGTGATTGTAGAGAGAGTGTGTGACTATATAGTGTGTGACTGTATAGTGTGTGACTGTATAGAGTATAAAAATCGTTATAACGGGAGTATCGAGTTTTGACTGTATAGCATATGATAACGATAGCAACTATTTGTTTTTGTCTCCGTATTGAAAATAACTTTAGATGCGAATTTCTTTTATTTCTTTTCATTAACCTTTGTGAATTGTGCTAACGATTGGCGTTTTGTGAATGTCGGTTAATCTAGAAGTTAGTTAATATATCATATATAATTTAAAGTGTTTTCGTGCTTTAAATAAAGAAGAGATACGCTCGTTCTTCGTTTTATATTTTCTCATATAAATATATATATCATAAAAATCCTCTTACAATTCTCACCTTTTCGAGCTCTATAAATTCTTTTATGAATTTACCAATCCAAAAATAACTATGACTGAATATTAGGAAAACAAACAATTCTTAAACTAGACGTATGACCATCGAAATGATTACGTACCTAAAAGTCTTGGAAAATAAAATCTGCACCACCGAACACTTATAACTGTCGAAAGCAAATAGATACGTTTAACTTTATAATTAGAAACTCATATATATGTTGAAATTTAGTTAATGATTATTTTTAAACTCTTTTATATGAACAAAAATTCTTACTTTTATGTTTTATTAGGGTTGTCATATCGAAATTTTTTGAACATAGGAATTATGTCCATGGACATATTAAATTGTCATGATTTTTGGTTCAATCATTCATTTCGAAGATGTTGAATTATTGTTTAATGTAATAATTTCTGAGAAAAAAAATTTCATGAAAAGATTGAATCAACTGTGAACAAACACCTTAATAATAACGCTAATTAAAAGTCGCGAAAATAATGTTCATTTTCATTAACGTTAATCAGAAAATCGGGCTATCTATCATTCTTATCATGCTAGTGATAGACAGATTTCTATATATAGATTTTTACTAGCGCGTATCATGTCGCGCGTACTTTGTGAATTATCACTATTCTTATTTATAATTCTTCTTCAGAATGCCCAACATTACAATTTCCGACGACAAAAACGCTAAAGGGAAACAATACTGTCTTCCTTATGACAATGAAACCAGTCAAAATGGGTGCAAAGTAGGAATCTTGGTTGAATTAGGTAAGAAAGTATTTCCTTAGTATTAATTTATTCAATGTGGCTTAAAATATGAATTTTTTATTTACAACAAGACGAAAATGTATCTTCACCCAAACAAGAAATAAAACCTGACAGAATTTGTGGAGGCGCGGGAATGGAATCTAAAAATTTTTATGGAGATGCGAGCGGAAGTAATGAACACGAGGAGTCGAATTGCACGCCAACACCTAATAGAGTCTCGGAATTCTTTATCAAATCGTCGACTCCTTTTTCGGCTCAAAAGTACTCACGATTGGTGAACAAACTCTGGAGTTTGAACATTGATGTGGTTTTAACAGACAATATTGCATCAACGGAACATCTTCAGAATATAGAAGAAGAATTAAAAAATTTACATGAGTTACAGTCGAACGAATCGAACTCAATTTGGGGACAAGAGAGTCCGGAAAGTTCGGACACTGAGAGTCACAGCACTTTTGGTCCTCCCGAAATAAAGTTTAATGTGAATCGTTGTATTAATCAAGAGTTGGATATGTACTGGACGAATCCTGACGGCTCGTCGAGCCCTTTGTCAATTCCAGATACACTTCCAAACCAGTACAAGTTTGGAGAAAATATTATCATTGATGTGATAGGAGAGGATGGATTAGGCTATCCAGAAGATAGGAAAACTGCAAACTACTTGCTGGATCTAATAAAACTACCAAAAAAAAGATGGCTCTTAGGTTTCGCCAACAAAGCAGTAAATGTCTTTGATAATTATGATAGCTTCAAATGGAAAACTATCGAGATCATCTTTAGACTCTTGTCATCTCACACAGTATTACGTAGTTCAAGTCTACGCAAGTCAGAAGACATTACGCGAATTATGAAAGCATTTGACGGTTGCCACTGGTCCGGCAAGACTATAGGATATCTACGCTCGTATGTGGATTCGTTGGATAAATTATTGGATGTGCTTTACACTTTTGACGCGATGTGCCGATATAAAAACTGTTATGGTGCGAGACTTCCTGTTTTGGAGATTACACGTTGCTTTGACGCTATAACTAAAAACATAGACAATACTGAGAGAATATACGAACGCAGTAAAGCACAAGGTTTATTACAGATAGTTAGATTGTATCAACAGAGTTCGGGATCAATGGAACCATATTTTGCATCGTTATCCAAACCTCAGCTTATAGTTCCGGAATGGATCAGGAAAATACGTGAAAGTAAAACGTATTTACCGATTGTTCCAATTTTTGGTGAACTTTTTGACGTGTTATCATTTTGCAAGAAGGCAACGTCAATTGTTGAAGCACCAGATCTCGAAGATATTACGTGGACATTGGAAATGGACGATATCTATAAATGTGTGCATTATTCCAAACTACGACAACAATTTATTGAACCGCTGAAGCATCTGATTCTCACTTGGCTCAAGTCTTTTACTATAGATGAGGATAATAGATTCAAAATGGGAAACATTAATCAAGTGTTCTATCAAGATGTTAGGTATTACAACGCAAATATGCATAATAGTGGACAGTTAGTTATATACTTCAAATTCCAACCGAACCAGCCAATTGATTGGACTCTCGGGAAAAACCTTTTGCCAGGATCCTTTGTTATTTTGGCAAAGATTAGCGATGGTAGATTTCCCAAAGAGACTAATTTTCCGGTCAAAGAAGATTCAATAATCTTTGGAGTCGTGAAGGAATTCAATCTGAAAGATCTGATGGCAACTGATTCAAAAGATTCGATCGTCGGACTGCATTTTCATCAAGATCAATTATCGAAATTAGATATTAATACGAGTTATGCCATGTTTGCATCAAATGTTTATTATCCAATGATTCGAGCGAGTCTTGAATGGTTGCGAGATGACAAGACATTAACAAATTCGTTTAGATTGGGTCGAGAAATCCTTACCTGTCCATCAACAAGCTCATCGCCAAATTATTTAATTGATGCTAAAGTAGATTTGAGACGGATCTTGAAGCAAGAGATCAAAACTTCAAAGGTTTTTGCAACAGGCACATGGCCAGCATGTTCTGATTCTCGAAGTTCACCGTATAGAATTGATTCATCCGAGGTGGGAGCTTTAAAGCAGCTCTTTATGAACAAAATCTCTGTTACTATTACTCCTATCGGTAATTATAAACGTCTTTGACATGCAAAGATTTTGGCCATTCAATAATAATCTCTTATATTTCTTTATCAATAGGCACGTGCCAAATAGAATTTTTGGTGAATTCTATCAACCTAATTATTCAAATCCGAAAAACTCGAGGTTTTTTCGAACCAATAATACTTATTACCAGAACTTCTCGCATCTTAGACAGCATCCTTGAAAAAGTTAAGCCTTTTATTACGGGACTTACTCGTTGTGGGCAAAGCAATTGTCCTGACAGTTTAAGAAGTCGAGAGATTAATACTCTGTTGCAGCAAGTTTATGTAAGAGATTCCGAGTACATTAAAATTCTTGTTAAAACAAAAGCCGACTTGAAAAGATTAAAAAAGAGATTAGAAGCCTTGCAAGATAAAAGAAATTTCGCGTTAAGTGATGCTGCTTTCCTTAATAATGCTCCTCTCGTGGCCCGGCAGCAGCTTGGAACGCAAGATCTTTTGGCAGCTTGGTTACGTGGATCCAATAAACAAGAAACTCTGCAAGGTTTTCAAGACGATACAATTGGTGATCCGTCACTTGCAATGGTGGAATTTGCCACTCTTCAGGAACGACAGTTCGATGAAATGAACATTATATCTAATCCAGAGTATAATGGTGAACGTCACCAAAGGACTAAGCGGATTTCAAATTATTATACGAGTAAAATTAATCAAATGTGGAATGAATTTTTAATTTCTGATAGAGAGAGTAATATTTGGAATTGGGCTAAGCAGAAACGACAAAAACTACGCCGTGCTTATGCAAACGTCATGTCCGATTACATGGGTAATGAGATTGAAAAAACTTTTGACGAGATCGCTAATTTAGAAAGTGCCCTTGAAGATATTTATGCTTTTCGATGGCGTGCAATTGCAGGTTACTCCCCTTTGGTAGGGATGACGATCGCTTATGCCTCTAAGCATCGCAATCTTGTTAATGAACTCAAATCTCGAGTTATTTTAGTTGCCGAAGCATCTGAAATACCAGAAGCCTCACTTGTCCCTTATTTATCCTCGAATAATCTGGAGCACCTTATACTAATCGATGATTATGTTGCCGATAAATCCAAGCCCATTCAACAGAGAACAACCACTGATCAAAACAACATTTCACTTTTCGAAAGATGGATAAAAAGTGGCGCGTCGCATCAAATTCTGTCACGACAATTTAAGATCCGTCCAGAAATATATGACGTGATTCGTGATTTGTATAAGTTTTCGAGTTCCGCGCCAAATGGATCCACCACCATGACAACTATCATGGATAGTCCAGAACTAGAAAATATCCCGAATATACTGGGAGTATCATCAAATATCCGATTCATCACCCACTATGAATTTGATAGTTCTGAAAAAGAACAATTCAGCATGGTTAATCATTTTGAGGCTGAATATGTGGCACGTTTTGCATTATATTTGTCACAACAAAATAATCGAATAACCGAAAACATTACGATATTAACCCCGTATTCGGCACAAAAGCAGTTGATCTGGAGCAAATTGGATCCTAGTCTAAAGCAAGCTATTAAACTAGATGAAGAGATTTTCGAGAAGATTCTCGTCGAAACAATTGATAATTTCGAAGGCAAACAATCGCATATTATTTTACTTTCACTTACTTCACCGTCTCCTCAACATGTCGAAGAATGGCTGAATTACGTTGGTGCGAGTAAACGCATTAAACACGCCATGTCGAGTGCTTTATATGGACTGTACATTTTAGGCAATGGATTTGCGTTGATGGAGAGTCCTGCTTGGAATCAAATAATAAAAAGCTTACAAGACAAAGGTACGTATGTTATTGTATTATGTATGATTTATAAGATATTTGTCAATTAATTAATTGATTTGTGTTGGAATATAGGCAATTATGGTGACTCTCTTTTCACTACTTGTAAACGCCATCCAAAATATAATCCAGAAATTAGATTAGCATCCGATTTTGATAAATATGTGCCAGATGGTGGTTGCTTAGTAAGTTATGCTTGATTATTTTATTTTGGTTATCAATCTTACAATATGTTCACTCAACTCCCCCCCCCCAATTCTAATCTTAGGAACAATGTCAATATCTACTTCCATGCGGACATAATAACTGCCCGTTAAATTGCCATCCGATCGATCATGCTCATTTATGCCGGCAGAAGGTATGATAAGTTACACATAATGTAATAGCATTTATCAACCAACTGATAAAAACAATTATTTTTCTTTAGCTTATATGTAGAAGCGATTGTTTAAGAGATCGTCCACCAAAATGCACACATAGATGTCCACGTCTATGCTATCAATGCAAGCAGAAAGGTCAATGTCCACCGTGCAAGGCACTAGTAGCCCTAACCTTACCATGTGGCCACATTACAAAAGTTCCATGCGCAGAAGTACCCGACGACATTACACAATTGGTTTGCATTGCCAAAGTCAACTTCATCCGGAAGTGTGGACATAAAATTCCAACGCTATGCCATATTATAAAGAACGGCGGTCCGAAACAAGCGCTCGATGATTCGTGCCACGAAGCGATAAAATATACGGCGCCGTGTAAACACGAAGTGCAAACGATTTGCGGATCCCGTGAAAAGACGATTTGTATGTTTACTTGCGAGGTGATACTTTCTTGTGGTCACAGGTGTAAAAAGTACTGCGCGGAGAGCCATAGGCATCATCCGGGTGGATGTGACTCCTGTGTGTTTGCCAGAAGGAAAAGACTACGAAATCATTTTTGATTGCTTATTGAAATGCTTCATATCTCTTGTTTATTTATTCTTTGATATTTGATTTGACAATGTAGCTTTAGTATGTAACTTTTTTTATGCAAATGCATAAATGTTTATATAGATCACAAAAACGATTTCAGAATTAACACATTTTGGTATCAACAATTGATTTCTTTCTTCAATAACTAAAAATTTAACGTAATTAAAATTTATAAATGTACAGTGAGATCTCTCTGAATGCACGCTCTGGCCCAAACTATAGGTCCTTGTATTTGTACCTATTCTCTAAATGCAAACTCTATTCTATAAATGCACAGAGGGAGAGTTGACTGTAAAATGAATGAATTATTATTGAATACCTTTAATTTTTTTACAGAATAAATTAACTCTCCCCCTAGGGATCGGATACAGGCGTGCATTTAGGACTTATCGCTTGAAACAGGACCAAAGCATGCACTTAAAGGATGTGCACTTACGGGAGGGTGCATTTAGAGGGGTGTTAGGTATTAGTAGTAAAACAAGCAGGAGTATTGTAAAGCACTGCATAAAATATCCCCTACAATGCACTAAATTTAATAATGAAAGTAAAATTCTTATCGTTATTGAACAAATTATTGCAATTGGTATTTTTATTTTTAGGCCTTGCCTTAGTCATGAGAAAACTTCTCAATAGAAGCATTAAGTAAGCGGCTTTTTTGTATCATCAAAATAAATACCATACTTGCTAGTGTATTAAAAAAAATCAGGTTTTTAGAAATTTAAACATATTGGGTCTTATTTGTAACTTTCGTTACAAGTAAAATGACAAATGTTCAATATTATATTTTTTTATTGTTTTGATGATTTACTAAAAATAAATCTGTAATATGATAATAAGTATTAATAAATAAATTTTTTTAACAAGTTATAAATTTTTTATTATTGTATTTATTAAAATTAATTTTTTGAACTTAATATTTTTTATATTTTTTTATAACTTTTATAAAATTAACCAATTTCAAATTCTTTTATACTCGTTTTTCTTAAAACAAATTGAATAATTATAGAAAAATACATTTATAAAAATTTTTATTTATAATCACTTAATAAAAAAATGATTTGATTATAAAACAAAAATAATAATTTTTTTAATACCTTTATCAAAATTAGATTTATTTTTATTTCTGAAAAATTTAAAATTAATACAATAATTTGCCATAATAAAATTAATTCTGGTATATATTTATATTTTATTTATAAACTTTTATGATTATTTTATTAAAAAAAAACAAAGTAAACTTTTAAGTAATTTATAAAAATTTACTAAATTTTCTAGTTTACTAAATAAACAAAATATAGAATAAATATTATTTTTAAAAACTTTCTTAAATTCAATATGTTTATTAAGTATTTACTTAGTTTCTTTTTTATTTTTGATGACTCAAATTATTTTCTAGTAAATTTATATGTTTACTTCTTATAGTAATAAAAAATATAATACTCTTCAATTTTGAAATATGATTCAGTGCAAAAAGATTTGTATCTCAAAATAAAAATTAATAATTATTTCTAATAAAAGTCATTTAAAATTTAATTAAACTCTATAATTTTTTATAATAAGTAAAGTAATAATTTAAATTAATTATTTCTATTATTTTTTTATATTTTTATTCAATAATAAATGAAGCAATACTTTTTTAAAAAATAAAATAAAAAATTATTTTTTTTAAAAATACATTTAAGCATTATTTTTATTAATTTGTAATATTAGAACTTCAAATTATGAAAGCATATTGTTATATATTTGGTAAAAATTTATTTTAAATTTCATAAAGATTGAATTAGTAGTTATTGCAAAATTAAGTTTCAAAGTTTAACAATTAAATTATTATTATATATGTTTTATATTAATTTTAATCAAATTTTATATAGTAAAATTTATAAAATAAGAATTCAAAAAAGTTATTACTAGTAAAAATTTTTTTTATGAAAAATATATAATTAAAATATATCTAATGACTTAATTAAATAAAATTTTATTTTAAAAAATAATTATTTGAGATGCAAATATTTTTGCACCGGACTATAATTAGAAATACAAATTACTAGATAAAAATTGCAAGCTAAAAATTTGCTTAATAAATCACAGATACTGAATATTAATATCGAAATGTTTTCTAAAAACAAATTGGTGATGAAAAAAGAGATACAGCAGTGATTTTAGTTTTCATCATGAATTACCAAAAAACCAAGTCAACATCCACTGCCACAGAAGCAAAACGCGCTCATATTTTCCCTACTAGCCAGCTAACTACCAATTAATTAATCAATCAATCAATCAATCAATCAATCAATCAATCAATCAATCAATCAATCAATCAATCTGGTTAACAAATTGTACAGCATCCGCAACATCAAACTCTTCGAAAGCTCCCAATGAACCTATCAATTCAGTGACTCGTTTTGCCGTATTCTCAGCTACTACTTCAGGATCGTTTATTGGATTTGTAGGTATACCAGTGAATAGTGTCTCATCTAAAATTTCTATAGATTTTTTCTTTTTTTGGTGTATATGTAATAATTCGGATTAGATGAAACATACGGATTTTTAATAGTATTTATGTTAGATACTTACTTCTATCTCCTCTATAGAAATGCGTGAAATATTCGAATGTATTATAAAAAAAGTCACTCGATGCAATATATGTAATAGCAAGACATCAATAACGACATACCTTGAGTTGAAGCACCCAATAAAGTACTATTAGTATCCGAAACTGTTATACCTAATCAATTAATTTAATTTAATACAATGTTTTATGATTAGTAAAGTGATGAATTAAAATTACCTAATGCCGTGGCAGCCTCAATATCGACAAATTTTCTCGCATCGCCAATCACCAGAATTAATGAGACATTTGTCGGGAGAAGCTCGAGTATTTCTTTATCGAGTTTGTTGATTGACTATGTTGTTAGAAACAAAAAATTAATTATACATTTATCGTTATGTAAGCTTATTGTAGTTGGTACTTGCTTTATCCACTTCGGTAGGATTACATAAGAGTGCCGATATATTTTCATATGATTCGTATGCCGTAAGAATGAATTCTTGTCTTGTTCCATTAAATTCCTAATTACAAGATGGAATTATCTTGGAATCGAATTTACATTGACGAAAAAAAAAAAAAACGAAAGAAATCGGAAAATCCCATTACAAAAATGATATGTCTATCTTTGAGTTCGGCGAGAGTCTCGTTAGCGTGTTTTATTTGTCCAAGTATTAAAGCTTGCGCTTTTGACATGATAGACGATGATAATAATAATGTAGAAAGAAAGAATGAATGAAGTGCTCTTTTTGACAAGAAATTATTGATCAATTTCTAAAGACAAGAATGATTTCTTATTCAATAAAAATGTGAAACAACACGCATATAAAAATAAATGATGAGTGGACCCGCGTGCTTGATGGTTACATCATAGATTGTAAGAAAATCTTGTTTCTTTTGGATGCCGAAATAAAAGATGCAAATGATCGTCATCTGCACGTTTGTTAAGAAAAAAGAAGAATCACACGATTTTGGATCATTCGTTCATAAAGATATGCGTTAATATCATCTATTATTGTGGTTATAATTGTCATCACGATCATCTAAAGAGGCAACAAGGAATCACGATCATGTGAAAAAAAATTTACAAAGCAATATAGATTCCATTGTTTCCTAACGTTTATGGTAGGCGATTTTCAATAATCTGGCAAGATTCAAGATTTTTTTTGCGATTGTTGAGTAAGGGAACCATAAAACTCTAACCATTCTTCTGTCTGTAAAAACAAGAGATTTGATTCTATGTATTTCATCTCCTTCTGCATATACGTATATTGTATGTTATGTAATGTGTCCATGCATGCATTAGTCCATATTTCATTACCATTGACTTCGTTAATTAATAATGATCAAACCACTCATTCATGTAGTATCATAGTATAAACACTTTGCATGTGACATTGTCTTCATTAATTTATTTTTTAATTGTGAGAGAATGATATGTTAAAGTTTGTTTTTGATGATCTCATGACACAGTGATAAAGGTTAATTTTGAAACAAAGTAGTTTTCTTTTATTCATTATGTTGCCATAATCAACTCTGATTTTCCTTTTACGATTAATAAACATCGAGACAGAAATAAACCTGCTGTATAGGGTAAATTTCTATAATGCTCGACAACCTCCGAGCATTCGGAAAATGATTGCCATTCGTAGATATGTAACCTTTACGCTTAGCGTTAGTAATTACTTTTTCGAATTAAAATTTTAATTCAGGTTAGCTTTAAAAATAGCATGTCCATCGCATTCATTTATTCAGTTTGAGATTTTTTCTCCTGATCTACAAGAAAATTTTGTGAAATCGTAACAGTAAAGGATGATACGTGGTTACTATTCTTGGAGGTGCTATGATGTAATGTATGTATCCGAGTAATGTGGACAGTCACCTCTTAATTACAACTGAGTGGTGCAAGTTGTTGGTGTTGCGCGGATTGACGCGTCAGATCAACACCTATGTTATGAGGCGGTTTCTTGTGCATGTGACACCACTTAATAGATGTCGATATAAGGTAGTATGCTCTTCTAATCAAACATAAGGTTATAAATTTAAATTTGAAATTACGAAATTGAAAGAATTTGCCATTTAACAAGGCTTTATTCATGAGTCTTTGTAAATTCTCCATAAATTATAAATATTTACTACGCGTCATTGGGTCTAATTAACTTCTTTCACAATTTCCTTGTAGTGAGTTTTTTTTTGTAATGGGGGTTTTTTTTTAAAAACTATTCTGACAAATCTTTGTTCAATTACAAATTACTTTTCTTTTTTGTGGGAGACCCTTATAGACAATAGTACTCGAGTGCTTGGGTTTTTTATGATAAGGATTACAAATTACAAATTATAACTTAATAATGGCCGATAGCGATTGGTTATGTTGACGTACTTTTGTTTCAAACTCAGTAATTTATCTACCTAACTGCTACTAATGTACCTAATAAATTACTGATAAGTGTGAATCAGAATTTAAGAAAACTTTATCGTTATCAAATATTCATGTATGCATGTACTCTCACATTGCGCATGTGCAATAGTCATCATGTGGTACATATACCAATATACGTATCGGTACGCTTTTAATTTTGAACCTTATGGGTTTAATTCCGCCTACTAAACGTAGCTTTTCCAACAGTATTATCAATAAGTTAATTAGAACCCGGAATATTTTGAAACAAAAGATTTTCTCTCTCTGGAATCAATAAATTTGCAGAATGAAGAAAAAGAAAAGCGTTTCCCTAAAATAAAATTATTATCAGAATACGGTGATTCTTTTTGAGAATCTGCACCAAATCGTCGGTAGTGTTTATTTTTATTTAGCTCATTTTAATAATCAAGTGCATAAATTATGCAGACATATCAAATGTTGTTATTCGGGAAAAGAAAACAGGGAAAAGAGCACGATCTTTTATTGGACGTTTGTCGACAAGAAGAAGGTACGAGCTGATTAGTTCATGCTTAAGCAAGATAGCGTTGGTGAAATCTTTTGGATTATGAGAAGGAAAAGCGAATGCTCTGGATTATTAATTTTTTCGAAAAGACAAACATCTTAGTATTTATGTGATACACATTGTGTAGCATACGATCGATAATTAAAATTAAATTGACAAATATTTGCGAAAAAAATCACTTGGTTGATTGGTTCAAACTAACCGTGTTTATTATTGATATCGTTATGTGATGGGTGAAGCTTTTTTGACCACCATAATATTCAGAAAGCTTTCACTCCATAATATCAAAGAATATTATGTTTGACAGAGTAACGTTTGGAACGATAATGAATAGTAATTTACTTCGTGCGATGACCTACCAATCGATTCGTTTGCTCAAATTTTTCTTTGTCTTGATCGAAATTCGGTAAGTGATCGAACAGAATCATCTGTCATTACCACGCGATTCTATAATGGTAGAATTTTTATTGTAACATACAAACAAGGTGTAATTATATACGTAAACAATGACAGATTTGACCATCCATCTAAAAGACAGAAACGTGGTTCGCAAGAATATCTCTGATCGAAAATTATAGATTCACGTTCCTTGATTTTAATCTATGGCGATAACGTAACAGCGCGAAAAATTTTACGACTGGTCATTTAATCACGTGTCATACGATTATCTTGAGTGCTCCAATAAGAAAGATGCATCAATAGAATAACGCCCTAACCCAATTCCAGCTCTGTTATTAATAAATTGGAATTTAGCTTAAAAAAAACAAACAGTTTGATTAACAATGGCATATTAAAAAGACATTATAGGTTAGAAAAGTGATTAAAAAACCTCCTTTTTTATCCTTTTAGGGAATACGCCGAATCTCTTTCAAACATAAAAAAAGAATTCTTTGTTTAAAAGGTTAACTTTTGGTAAAGAAGAAACATCGATGATAATCGGACAAATTGATTTCTCTACTAACTAACAAATCACTCTCTCTCTAAAACACGAGTCATTGATTGTGATTGGTAAACGAGAATTGTAGAATGAGAATGGTTTGAATCAAATAGAAGGAGAGAACGTTACAGAAAATGTAGTAGTACTATATGGTACATCGGTTGGTCGGCCAATTTTGATGGTTAGATTTTCCCTGGGCATATTTATTTATTTTTCGTGTGATCATTTACAGAAATAGAGATCATATACCCCTCCGCTCTCGGTCCACCATTCTAAATTTCTTGTATCAATGCGCTTTTCTTCCCCCTTTTATCTTCTTGTCCTCATGTTTTTTCCTTGTTCCTCATTTATGCACCGGGTCTGGGGCTCTTGAAGACCAATGAAGTACGATTAGGCCATTATTTTTCTCGATCACGAGTTCCTTTCTTTCTTGATTTGCAACAAAAAAAAGATCACGATTCGAATTTGCCACGAATTAATTTTTACTTTTTTATTCGACTCATCTTTAATGAACCGATGAATAGATAGCATACCGACTTTTTTGTTTCATGAAGGTCCGTATTTAATGTATGCATGTATGCTATTATTATTATTATTATTATTATTATAGAAGTGGGTGGGTCAATCGAATGCATACATACTACTACATGCATGTACATATGTGCATACGCATACGCATACATACGCATATAATAATAATAAAGTTTGAAGTGTAACAAACCTTGAAATTTTTTAATCTCTGTAATGTTTGGTTATTTCTAGGAGTAATTTATTGATGTAATGAATGATTGGTGTAATACTCGATTCGCCTATTGACACTGATGTTTACCGCCAACAGCTACAATCACTAATAACATCAACGAATGAGAACGTCAAAAGTGCGCAAACGTCGGATGATGACGGATGGAGGAAGGATGGATGGATGATGGTGAGCGAAGAGTGAAACAATTGGCGGGAAAATTATTGCTGGAATTTCTAATTTACACAGTACATGAATAAACAGACTCTCCATGTATGCGTTTCTGTTTGTAAATAGTTTTCATGTTGTTCTACATTCGATTTGGTAAAGGTGATGATGATTATTCGGTACGATGGAACGAATCCAAGATGAAGGAGGAAAAAAAATAAACTCTACTGTGCTGTATTCTGTAATGCATCGGAGCTGTATACTTTAATTACTTTTTTTGCATACCCGAGGAAAAGCAGATGTGCGCACGTATTATTTTTCGTTTTGAAACCTTGTCGCGTAAGAATGTGTAGCCTTTGTTGATCGAGTCGAGTGATCGAATGACAAATAGTTACCTAAAAAAAAGACACGTTTAATTTGTTATTCACGCAACACCAAAGGTTGTAAGCCGTTTGCTAATACGTGCGCAAGGTCACAAAAATGCCAGGATGAACATACTAAGAAACGTCGATACGTAAACACCACATGCGCACAGAGCAGGATAAATAACATTTTTACATTTTTACATGCGTATAATGATTCGGTTACATCATCATAATTTAATCGCTTTATCGTATCCCGTATCGGTATGTGGGTAAATGATGTAAATGTATGCATCTTTGAACTTGGCCTTTTCCACGATAATCATAATCAATAAAATAATGTCGGCATTGGTGGTTGTTCTCTCTTGTTTGGTGTTATGATATACTGAATTTAGAAGTTAGAATAAAATCAATTATAATCTAAATTGAGTGAATAAAAAGAGAAATAATTAACGAGAAATCGAATTCATTCCAATTTACACGAATCACGTGCGCAACCAGTTTTGAAACAATCTACAAAATGCTCATCATAATAGAGCATTGTCAGCATAATACATCATCGCTCGCGGCCATCATCGTACATATTGTTGTTACCACAGCTAGACCATTTCCCCCAATCAATCGTAAAGCAAGGGAGAAACAAGCGGTCATCACCATGTTGTTGTTTCATAACACCAATCATAGAAAAAAAAAATCAAGCTTCAACGTGTATATCATTCATGTTTATTTATTAACACTCTCCATCTTTTAACAACACACGACGACGACGACGACGACGACGACGAAACAAACAAAAATTAAAACTAATTCTTTCCATTCATGCAAGATCTTCGACATGAAAAAAAATCGAAAAACAAGATATCCATAATAAACGCGCGCGCCCTCGCGTCTCGGTCATGAAATGGATAATTTCTTTGCATTCATTCGCGTATATATTTATATTTCGCGTATATATTTATATTACTTATGTAATACATCAAACACATAAAATAAATAAAACTAAAATAACGTTTACAATACACCAAATATATGCCCGGTATATAAATAGACATTACCCGAACTTACTCAGAATAAGCAACTAATTAATAAAAATAATTAATAAGCTGCAGTTGTATTCTATCCACATAAAAAAAACATATATGACCAGCCAAGCCTACTAAAAAGCTTTTTCTCAATCATCATTCGTCAGCCATTCTCTATATAATATAAATAACACAACACATAAATACACCCACAACAATCATCGGTTTTTAATTAAAATTTATAATTTAATTGTTTAAAAAGATATTCTATACCAATATAAATTATTATATATATATTCTAGATAAAAAAAGCATAATCATTCTTTCTGCTATTATTACTCGACACGTAGAGCAAGGCGACAACAGCAACAGAAGAACAAGAGTGAAAGTAGTTGTAAAGAAGATAAACAACACATACCAAAAGTAGTACGTACATCTTTACTTTACATGCATATATAACCTAAATAAATTTTCTTACAAAACTCGGGAAATCCCCTTTTTTTCAAACACACTTCTTCAAAAAAATCATATTTTATAACTTTACTTTTCAACCTAAAATTTTTTCTTCTTTTTCTTCTTTCTTTTTCTCTCCTCTCGCTCTTTCTCTCTCTCTCTCTCTCTTTACTCAATTCCCCTTTATATATTTTTGTATATAAGTATTTATATATAAAAAATATATTAATATATATATTGTTCACATTCGATTTTAATTTATATATATCTCCTCTTTCCCTCCTCTTCTCTCCTCTCCTTTTCTTCTTCAAAACAAATAATATTAATACTAATAAATCTATAAATAATATAATAGATAGTACATACATACATACATACATACGTACATACATACATACATACGTACAATATATAAATATATATATATAAAAGTAAATAAATAAAAATCGTAGTTTATTTGGGTGGTAAAAATAAAATATAGAAAAACTTGCAAGTAAGTTTTTTTCCGGTTTTTTATTTTTATTAATGTGGCCGAAGTGGTTGTGGTGGTGAATTATTTATTCAATTTTGGTTGCCGGTTAGCTGGTGAATACTACTAACTTTTGAGAGGGACAAGAGAATTGGCATTTGGGTTTTTGTTTCATTCGTTCTTGTTGTTGCCGATATTACTATAGCGGACTACTACTACGTTACCCTTATTGTGCCCATTACTATTGCTACTACTATTAATGACAATGCGGGAATGTGGAAACGGGAAACATAGAATTGAGGGATCGAAGGTGCCATAATAGATAGAAAAACAAAGAACAGGAAGCCAAAATGAAATACAGGAGCCAAGCAGGAGAACCGGATATTTATTAAATAAATGTTCCGAACAATTCAACCTGCAAGGAACCAGGGAAACAAGAATTCAAGGAAAGAGACAAAGAATAAAATAAGTTCGACGATGTCTACAGAGATGATCTGCAGGAGTGATTTTCGTACAAGGCAGAACTGAGAAATTATTATGGCTCGAAAAGCAAGAAATTTTTGAGGAAATTTTCGCAGTCTATTCATCATCGTTACTATCATTATCATCACTCACCCTTTACCATTTTCTATTCTCATTTGTTACTATCAACGATAAATTCTCATTTACAATTTAGTTACACAATTTTCTATTTTATTAAATAGCTTTTCTTATTCTCACTTTACACTCAAATTTTTTCCATACCTTTTCGCAATAATAAACCAAATTTATGACAAAGCAAAGATAGGACGCCAAATAGTGGAGAAAATTTTCAGACTTATTGAGAAGGAATATAGAGCAAAAAATTCGAAACAAGAATACCAAATAATACAATAGACAAGCAGACGCATGCATATACAGACAGGACCAACAATACTATCATTGATATCATTATCGTTATCACTAATATGACACATTCATTAACAAATCTCCGATTCGAATGATTGAGATAGAAAAATAGAAAAAACTAGCATAAAATATTTTTCTCGGATAACGAAGAACTTGTAATAGTAGTAGTAATAGTAACCAGCAACAATAGTAGAATAACGGCAACAATAGCGCAACAATAGCAGATGAGAAAGATAGTTTTTCGAATATTGAGTCGATTGACTGACTAATTAATTATTTTATTCTCTTTGTTTTCATAATATAGGTTTATTTAATAATATATAATAATAATAATAATAATACTAATACATTCACGATGGCAAGCACATCGAAGCAAAGCCGGAATTCACCAAGTGTGAATTATCATACTTCATCAGCATCATCTTCTCCCATCACCGCCCCTTCCTCTTCAGTCAGTAATAATCACGACTACAATAATAGTGGCAATAATAACGCCAGTCCGGCACCAAGGCAAATTTTACCAATGTCACGACGTGTGTCTTCTAATCACAATCAGCCACAACAAATTCCTCATCATCAATATCAGCCACCTCTTCATCATCAATATCAGTCACCTCTTCATCATCATAATCACCACCAGCGAAACCTGACCCCAAGACCAAAAATATACACGCCATCAGTTGTCGTGCCTACACAATTCGGTTCGCCAGAAGATTATGCAGTGTCATCGATTGTTGATGTTGGTAATCTTTCGAAAGATAACATGCTTATGCTATCGTCGCATTCGATTCCGTCTCCCATGGAATATTACCATCAGTCTCCTTCTTCGCCAGGTTATTACCAACAGCAGCATCATAACAATGGTCAACATATGCATGGATATAGTGGAAATTATTATGATCAACAACAACAAACTGCTTATCTTGTGAATAGATATCAGCATGTTCCATCTTTACATCAGCAACAACAGCAACCAATGCGAATAATACAATCTCATCAACAACAGCGATTAGTAGAACCTTACCATCATCATCACCAGCATCAACAACAGCAGCAGCGACAATCACCATCATTACAACAACAGCAATCGAGAACTGAGCAATCGGCAGGTTTAGATGCTGTAGCTGCTGGATTCTGTGATAATTGCACGAATATGTTTGTAAATTCAGGAATGCCAATTGAATCGTTCGTCAATGAAGCTGCGTGCAGCAAATGCAAGAATAGATTTTGGGCGAATTCTGGAATTGACATGAATCGATCTGCGCAGGATCATGAACAAATGATGCACCAATTGATACATAATCAAATTCCACGGGATATCTCACCTCAACGTTCATTGATGTCTCCAGAATTAGCGTCGACAAACATCGATTCGTCTTCTACAGTTCCTACCCAAAATATCGTTGATCCTCTGATCACTTCATCGCAATCATCGGACTCTTCTGTTGTTAATAATCCACCAGTCGCCGTCATCGAAAGTTCGGCAGACCCATCATCGTACATCTCGTTATACGAACAAAACTCGATTATACATTACGAAGAGAAGAAAGTGGTCCTGAAAAATAGTATCTTGCATGACGTATTCTTCTCGGATGATTTCTCGAAAAATGATCAAGATTTTATGGGTTTTTTGCATTTTGACAGTGAAGCTTCATCAGACACTGAAGCGTTGACGCCTGACCGGGACAATTCTCCTCCCCTTTCGCCAACTACTCCTAATGAATTCTTGGGTGGAGAAGAAGAATTTAGTTTATTTTTCAACGATGATGGAGATGCGGATTGTGTCAAAGGCTCGTTATCGAACATACAGACAACGACTGTGACCTCCTCATTATCGTCGGGAAGATCAAGTTCCATGAACAGCAACAATAACAAAATCAAGGAACATAACGCGTCCACAACTTGCAAGCCATCAAATATTATGATGATAAAGCTCAATGATGCGATGAATGCATTATTACAAAATATTCCAGCCTCACCACTCGCAGTACCAGAACCTCCAGTAGCCGCAATAAATCCAATGTTATTAAGCAATAATAACAACGATGAAAACCACTTGGTTGAAGAACAAGAAAAAGATATCGGTAGTATTACTAGCAGCGACAACAATACTAGTAATAGCACAGTAATTGATTCGATCTTAGAATCGAGGGTTCATCCTCAATTTGAAGGTCGTCCTCTTCAGATAATTCGACCTAGCTATATCGATATCAGCTCTGATATTCCGAGTCCCCCGCTCAAAACTCCTGAACTAGTAAGCGATACGAGACGTAAGCGAAAAGCATCGTTTAGTTGGTCAGACAAAGGCGTCACTTCAGATAATGAAGAAGAAACAACAGTGATTGCAAGTGGCAAAGCTAGCGAGAAGCTACCTAGCAATAAATCGCGAAAGATCAGTGACAATAAGCGAATATCGAATAATCCAATGAAATTGAAAATGAAAAAATCTGATCTTGGTGAAGAAGATTCGAGTAATTCTGAGACAATGGTGATCGATCAACAAGATGAATATCTACCCACTAGTGAGGATGATGCGGAGACTGATGAAGATGATGAAGAATATCGACCTTTATCCAAGAAAACAGCAATCTCCAGAAAAGGAACAATAAATAAATCTCACAAGAAACTGAAGATCACTACCAATTTAACCACCACTTCCTCTTCGCCCTCCTCCAATAAGGGGTCAAAATCAAAATCCAAGAGTAATAATAACAACACTAGTAACAGTTATACAAAAATTGGCACCAGCGCACCAAGTGTGATCAATAAACGTCGAGTCAAAAAATCTACATCAAAATTGACGATAAATACGGCAATAACTCAAGAAAAACCTCAAAGTAAAATTAGTTTGCCAAATTCACCTTTCATTACCGAATCTCCAACATCATCAGAATCATTACTCACCGCCACTGATTCGGAACTTCAACAACGTGAAGAGGACATGCAAATGGAAGAGGTGGAACAAGAATTATGTGATCCACGACCCACTCAAACTCCCACCATTTTTGAATCTTTTACGGAGTCGGGGGTTGATTGGTGTCGCTATTGTGGAACAACCGAAGGCGTTAACTGGCGACCAGGACCTTGGGGCAAGAGAACTCTGTGCAAGTAAGTTTGTATTCGTATTGAAGTGATTGATGGACATTCAGGGAATTTTAGGGAATTTTAATAATGATTATTTTTGTCTTAAACAATAATAGCAAACATGGATGCGATTACAAAGGATATGGATTTGCTTGTAAGCAACCACGTCTTGATTTGACCAGCTTCGTTGATGAACCAGTCGAGAAACGTGATCGTCCAGTGCTACAGCTTTGTATGTATTTATTTTATTTTGTTTTGTATCAATAAATTAACTATGAAATGATTAATTAATTAATTTATTAATTTTACTTGATAAATATTAGTCTGCACTGGATGTCACAAGAAAGAATCTTATGTAGAAAACGTCCTTGTGCGATGTGAAGGTTGTCCACGAGCCTTTCATCAAAATTGCCATTCCGTACGAATCGAGGATAAAACGGTGTCTAACAATGAACCTTGGTATTGTGACCGCGCTTGCCAAGATAATTTACGTCGTCGCCGCATCGTAGTCGAACTGCCACGAAAACGACTTCCTCTTATGTCCACACCGAAAGCCTCGACATCTACTTCTAGCGAATCATCATCAACTGTAAATACTGGAACTACCTCTCGCCCACGCACTTCACGAAATTCCACCAAAAACTGAGGAATCTCATGCTGATTTAATTTCTACTTCGGTTTTCTTATCGTCAACAAGTCTCATCTTTATTTTCCACATTAAAAGTTTTCTCTCAAAAAAGGAACAATTTGTTTTTATTCAATTTCAATTCCAATGAACATTAGGTTTAATAGAAATTTGCCTCGTGCAATTAAACATTTGTTTGCTTGGGTGTGCGGGATATTTTTATACAACAAATACATAGACAGATAGAAACAAGTTATATAAATTTTTTTTCTTAGATTGAATTAATTACATTTTATACTCATCACCAAAGAACATTATTCACCCAAAAATACTACTACTATACGTCGTTTCTTATTTATTTGATCATTATTACATTCCCGACACTATTCTAGATACCTTGAAAAAATCATCATTATTCTTTTTCAACGTCATTATTATCAAAAAAATGATTTTTTCAGTATTTGTTGTAAATTTTTTTATTTTTTTTTTTAATACTTTAGAATTTAATATAATTATATATTTTCATTTACTACATTTGCGAAACTTCAATATTATAAGCATTTTAGTAATGAAAAACCAAGTCGAGTGTGTATATGCTGTTGTTGCCTGGATAGCAACAAAAATCTATGTCTTACACACACGAGTTCATCTTTCTGTCTGCCCTCTCCTCGTACATATACATATTTAGCAAAAAGCTTCGATAATATATATAAATTTTATTTTATTTTCCTTAGAGAAACGGACTTTTATTCTTATATATATATAGTTTTAATGGGTTTCTTATTTTTTTTTTTGTTTTTAATTACATTTCCCTCTATATTTTTTTTTATTTTCTGTACAGTGGGATTATTAGTTAGAATTTATTTATTTATCCTCTCCCTCCCTTTTTGAACATTGAGAGAATTCGAATTTCTGGTTTTTATTTGGATTTAATGCTACTTATTACTATTGGCCCTCTCACCCCACGATGATATCTTATCGACCTGTCCGCCTGTTTCCTGTCCTACCAAAAAAAGATCATCGCGAGTCACTCGCTTTTGTCGATTTATATCTATTTCCCCACACTGGTTTCTCTGGCTACCTGTCCTATTTATCTGAGAATCTGAGAACCTGGCCTATTTCAACGACTGAATACATCTACTCCGATTTAACTGGGGTTGTCCTATTCACCCCGATCACTACTCATCCTTATTAATAATCAGAGTTGTCGATTTAGTCCTAGAAAACGGAAATTTGAAATTCTCAAAAACTTTTTTTTCGTTATTTATCTAATTTATTTTTTTATATGTACGCACTTTAAAGATGTGGCCATATCTTAGAAAAAAGAACTATAGAAAAATTACCTTCTCTTAACCTTCGACATTCATAATACATCCATCACCTTCGATTTCTCATTCTATATACACACATTCCCTCACTCGAAACAATCAAACACACAACAATCTACGATATTATACAAAAATCCTTATCCTTAATATATAGAACATGAATCTTCGAGAATTTACGATTATTGCCATACACATTTCACGAAATTTAAATTCCAACTTATACCTTCCTTTCTAAATATATAAGATCGTTATTACGAAAACCTCGTATTCCATCTCCCTCATACATACATCACTAAAATCCACGCTCTTTTCAACATACCATCATAAATAGAATATCTCTCCTCATATAACATCAATCAAACATTAAATTTTTCTAGAGTTCTGCTATATATACAGGTCATTTTTAAATTTTATTCTCAATCATCATTTAATTCTGTGATTGATCCCCTTTTGTTATTTTTCTTCGTCTTTATCGATTCAACCAATTCATCATCCCACTTTATGGAAAATAGAGCTTTTTTTTTAATTTCAATAGTAAATAAATACTTAATTTAATAATTTTAATAATAAATGATTCAAAATAAATAATAATTTATTTTCTTTTTAAATGCTACCATTTATTAATATATTAATACTAATACTAATTTTTGGGGGAGGGTTATTTAGAGCGCGCGAAAAAATTTTTTTTTGTTAGATTTTTTTAGTTTCCTTTGTAAATAGATAATTAAAAATAAATTGAAAACTTAGAGTTGTCATTGAGTTATTAGAAAGTGTATAATGTATTTAAATAAAGAACACATTAGCATGACTCAAACTTTCAAATGAGATGTGTGTAACAATTTTGACTATTTTTTACGCGAATTGACCAAGTCACATCCATTTTAGGTGGAGATAAGTTTTTCACCTCTCTGTCAAAAAATAGACCGAGAAAGCTCTCATACAGTTATTTTTTTAGAATTAATTTTCCATTCTGTTGTCTTATTATCAAATATATGACATATTTCTAACGACGAATGCTTTGACATTCAAGCGATAGCAATCATACTTGGTTCGATCAGAGGGGGTAAGTTCATGCGACAATTCTAAACGAGTGATTTGAGGTATCTTTGCAAGGAGAAACGGCGGGAAGAATGCATTTTATGGTTCCAAAAAATTTGAACACCCTACAATGAAAACATCGGGAAAAAAGTACAGAGCTATGAAACCAATTCGATACCATTGGATTCGTCTAGTCGAGGGGAATCTGAGGTACCAAAATCATCATTGAATACCGAAATATCGCGTCTGTATATACAAAATTTTGCATATTGTTATTGAATTGAATCTCGATATTGCATCATCAATTCTATCAATCCTTCGTCAAATTACTTAACAAAATCATTATTATTTTATGGGTTTTAAACAAGAAAGATTGTCAAAAATTTAAGAAGTACAGTATATTCTTTAAGATTTAAAGAAAAAAGTTTGTTAGATTGAATATGTTAGTATAATGCATTATTTTTTCCAAGCAATTTCAACAAGTTCTCTTAAAATCGTTTTTAATAACATAAAAATGATAAAACCTCGTATTTTTTCTGTAATTATTCTTTTTTAAGTAAAACCAAAAATTCCAAAAATTTTATTGTAATATTAAATAAGCAAGTTTTTACGGCGCGCACTGCAATAGAGATTATAAATACAGAATAAATTGAAGGAGAAAAGTATGTGCAAAAAAAAATTATTAGAATTTTGCTATTTACGATTTTCTAAGCTTGTATTCGATTCTTTAAGTTTTATATTTGATTCTCTAAGCTTTGTATTCGATTCTTACAGGATTGGCATTAACAATCGCAAATTTTCTATATA